TCTCATCGCGTAACTGGTTATCTCTGTCCAACAACTCTTTCATTCTGGCTTCGGCGAAAGCTAAGAGTTGTCCATTTTCTAGGCCTATACTTCGACCTAACTCCAAAAACTCAGCAAATGTAGACATATTTAAGTAATATGACAATCAATATACAATATATGATATACATGATAGTGTGTGGTGAAGTGACGCCACAGGACAACGAATACTGCGTACTGTCACACACGTACAATTAATGTGCCACTCGCTCTCCACTTGCGCACAGGAAAACCAGGTCTGTTCTCTGGAGGAAAGAGTTAAAATTGTCAGCGCAACAGAAACCACAACAACCACAATTGACTTACCAATTGGGTGGCAGACAAACAACACACTGCAATGTTAGCGATGAAAAATCGCTAAATAACGACCGGTACAACGGCAAGTGGCAGATCAATGTACAACCAAAAGGACGACTTGATCCGATTCAATCCAACGGAGAGTGGCACAGTCAGTAACGGTGACTTGATTATGATGAAGATCCAGCGAAGAGTGATACGGAGATCCAACGAAGAGTGATACTGTCCCGATGAAGATCCAACGAAGAAGAATGATACGGTCCCGATGAAGATCCAACGATGGCTAGAACAGACTGGCGGCGGCGGCGACTTGATACATTGAACGATATCCACAGCTAGAGATATGTTAAGACTGTGACAACTGGAATGTGCTTCGTGTACAACTTGAGGCAAAACAATGACAATGCGACAAAATGTCGTATCACACTTGTGACGAGAGGTTCCTCATTCTTTAAAGGCTGGCCTCCATTGTTACGTGCGGAACTTCATTGTAACGAGTGTAAAAGTGACTAGGGGTGTCAGAAGTTAACAAGTGGCATCAACACTTAACATGCCACTGGCCAAGAGTAACACAACATGATGAATGCTGAAGCTTCCCGTAGTAGAACAAGAACTCTCTTTAAAAGTTCCATTTGTGTATTGACAAATGCAATGATCAATTTCAAGAATACATATGCAAGTAATCATCAACTCGTTCAACCAAAGCTCGCTCGTACATCCATGTAATGATATGTCCTCACGATAGGTCGCAGTCCGACCTTGAGATCCAGACGATTTACTTTCTCCTCGGACAAGTCCGAATTAAGCAATGAAAGTATACCGGCTTACTGCCGAGAATGTAGTGCTCACCAGCTTCCTGCTGAGGTCTTGGAGTCTCGGGGTAAAACGTCCTCAAGGATCCAACTTTATATAACGTTTGCTTCCGTGGGATCCCGGGGTAAAGCGTCCTCAAGGATCCACACGTCTGTCTCCTTCGGACTATAAACATCAACTGCTTTTACAACAATATCATAACAACGTTATGTATTGTTTTGACGTCTTATTTGCTCACTCCGTACCGGTGCGTTCTGGTGCACATTCGCAGGCGACATTTACTTTGCAATTACAGATACACATTTTCTGAATAGCCCCCCCCCAAAAAGTATTCAAATGGAATAAGGTGACCACTGAAGAAATTATAAAAAGATATAGCAACACCTTAGCCTCCATTTTATAAGTGCTAATTTCTTCTTCTTCTTCTTCTTCTTCTTCTTCTTCTTCTTTTCTTCTTCTTCTTCTTCTTCATCTTCACAGCTGTAAACTCTGGCAGAAAGTTCTGGTTGTTCATCCACTTCTAGACTTAAGTCTTGTTTAAGAAATTGAGTTTTTCATGCACATCCATATTTCCAGATCTGGCTTACTTGTTTGTGGACTTTTAGGTCCTTACCTCCGTGGCAGATGCACTCCAACTTTGGAGCACAAATCCCTAATTATTCACCTTTTATGACGTTTGTTAGTGACGCAGCCAGTCTATTCTTTGCCCTCGAAGTGAGGCACTGGAGCTCAAACGATTAGAAAAGTAAAAGGTAAAGGACCCTTTTCCGTGCATTGGGCATATAGGGCTAGACCTATATTTTACAGACCAATCAGCAGTAGATGGGTGATGTGGTCAGTATCAGGCCGGTCGCCTTTACTTCTCTGGACTACCTGGTTACACACTCTAGGTTGGGTTGACCTGAGAGCCCAGCGATCCGGAGCGCAGCCCAAGAACAGCCAGATTTGAGAGCAGCCCTACTAGAAGACCATAACAAACCATAAGCGATAGCAAACTGACAACACAAAGGAAGCACACTGACAACCCTGATTTGATGACAACCCGACCTGTAACCACAAATACAGCGGACAGGGCAGAGAGCAGCAATGTTTTCTGTCCCTTAGCTGAAAGTGGTCACGGTTAATTTGAATTGACCTGAGAGCCAAGGTCTTTTTTTTTTTAAAGTCCAGCTCCATCAGGACTCGAATCCACGACCTTCCCATCTGCAGGCAAGTGTATAGCCGCTACACCTCAGCTGATCTCCAGAGATTAAGTCATAATTAAAGAGAGTTGGCATAAGACTGACAGTCCCATACAGTAGAAAAACGAGCTGCAAAATCCAACTAATCATTTCTACAAAAACTGAGTTAGTTGATGACCTATACTCCCTTGGGAGATGAGGGGCAGAAGAAGAAGAGAACTTTATGTATGCTGACATTGGCAGTTGATTTTAAAAAGGACCCTTTAAGAAGTGGAGATTTGTTGCCTCTGGTACATAATCTGAAGAACATATAATGAATGTGCCTCAGAAATCAGTCTGCTGGTTATTATCAGGCAGTGAGTTTTTTAAGCTTAAATGAAACATCTGCGCCCTTCGATGCAATATATCTTGAGTTCAGTAAACCTTAATCAGTCACATTTCATGGCATGCTTGTTAAAGGGCAGTGGATCTATTCTCTACCCCCGCCCCTTTGTACCCCCACCCCACTCTCAAAATAGGCCCCGGAACCAACATGGGAAAGGGAAATTCAGCTACAATAGCTGTTTATTTCTTACAACATTATACGCTCCAGTGATAGTGCAGTGAGACAGATTTAACAGAAACAAGTAATTGACCTACGAGTCCCAAGTCGGCGTAGACTACATAGTGTTTGTCAACAAAATTTCATGGAAAGTAAAAGTGGCTTATGTGGCTTTATCCATTGAATGCCAGTTGGTGTGTGAAAATATTAGCCTAGAGTCAATTGTTGAATGCAGTAGTAGTGTGAAATGTTCCTTCATGTACATACTTGTCAGTGGCGTGATCATTTGGCAGTATGAAATGTGTTGTCCAACACTACACTCAGCAGAAATAAAAAGGATATGCCAAACACTTGTAGGATAATGTTAAGAAACTGACAGGTCCTGCAGAAACTGAGATGCTGGCTAAAGAGAAAGATGTACAAGGGGGCTTGAAAACCTTACAAGTGTGATGAAAATTGCAGTAACATCTCAGTGTCTTGTAACATGTCAATATAGTGGTAAGTACGTTAACAGTGTAAAGCACCTGGCATCACGATGCAGACAAACATGTAATTTCTATCACACTTTTGATGTTTTCAATTGAAGCTCCCATGTGGAAGCAAGACAGTACAGTGGCAGCAATGATCAGGATCATTAGAAAAAGCTCCTCATGTCAGTTTTGGGACCCCAATCTAGAGAATTAAAAAAATACACGCCTGTGCAAGCCGGCACATGCACACACCACCTCCCTCTTTAACAAGCATGCTGTAAATGCAACTGATTAGAGGTTTGATGAAATCGGATGTGCTGGGCCAAAAGGTTCTGATATCGCAGCCTAGCTGTAAACCACAATACAACATGCCCGCTGCCCTTTTAAGGACGAACACAAAAGAAGAAGAATTAGAGAAGGCATCGTTTTCACACTTCTGATTATATAAACTTTTAAGCTACCTTTGAAAAAAATTACCATGCACTTCAGCAAATAACAAAACCTGTGTCAACATTGTAATGCAGAAGTAATATAGACATCGTTATATGAATATATTTGACCTCTACACCCCAAGGTAGAAGAGGAGCGACTAAGTAAAAGTAAAGTATATTAATATATTACCTTTTCTGTTCACTGGCTGTGAGCTGCAGCAGAAAGTCCTGGTTTTTCATCTATTTGGACTTTGGCTTTGTGCCAGGGCCTGAGTTATGCATGTACATCTTTTTTATTGGCTTATCTGTGTGCAGTTGGTTGTTCCTTGCCGCTTGGGCAGATGCACACCAACTTTGAAGAAACCTCCACATTAGTTGACTCTTACAACATACTTATTTGGGTAGATAGTGGGTCTCTTCTTGGTTCCCCCACAATGGGGCCCCAGAACCCACACGGGGATATGTTACCTTTGACTTCTGCAATTACATGAAGAGGCTACTGTTAGTATAGAGACAGTTGTTCTTCTGGCCAATGTTGGTCACATGCCCTGTAGGATTGCTGTACCTGCCATTTTTGTATCTTTCTAAGAGACACCGTAGTTGTCTACATGTTGGTGTATTTATGTAAGTAAAGATATGTTTTGAGAGACTCCTGCACATTCCTACCATAAATTTATCTGACTTTCAAAAAAGTGTGTATCAGCTAGACGCTCACATCTGGGCCTGAAAGTTGTGGGTTTAGGTTTAAACAACAGATCAACATCATGGCATAAGGGTAGTAACCCATAAGTGCTCCGTTCTACTTTTAACTCAAGCCCGAGTCCGAAGAATCTCAGCGCAGTGCATAAACTCTGTTGCACCGGCTGGGTTCCTAAAAATACTTGATGGTGGGTTTAGATCCGCAATGAGCCTATTTTTTTTCGCAAGTGACCTTGGCTCCCAGACGGGCACACCATTATTTGGGTATCAGCTAAAGTCCCTGGGAAGTAGAAGGTGGCCAGCATGATTCTGACATCAGCCATCAAGTGCTGATTGGACATTCTGGCACTACGTTCCTAGTACGCCTAAGAGCTAGGAAAAGGGGTCTTTGACTGTTTATTTGTTTGTTTATTCAAAGAATATGGTTTACTTTGCAATTGCAAGTACACATTTTCTGAATGGCAAAATTGAAAAGTATTGAAATGAAATAAGGTGACCACTAAACTGTTTTTTCTTCATCCTCTGTTAGCATTATACAAAGGACGCAGATGGCCTGTGCACGAGATTAATTAGACCTGTAGCAAAAGAAGGGGACAGTTTTGGTACAGTCAGTATACAGCAGTTCAGAAGTGGAGGCTGGGTCATCACCAAACAGCATTTGGAATTAGGGGAACTCATAGGCAAGGGAGATTTCGGAGGTGAGTAGAGGATGCATTTCCTTTGGCTATTATTGTTTGTGTGCCTCTAAACATTTTAAAGTTTGACCAAAAGAGCAAATTTTTGTAAAACCAATATTGTGTTACCAGTGCTTAATGTGGACATTAACAACAAAAAGAAAAAAAATTGAACAGACATGAACCGTTGAGAGTGAATCCTAAATGTAACAGAAGAGGCATGATAATAAATGATGATATCAGAAAACAATCTGGGAAGAACTAGTGCTAAACTACATCAAGACAGCAGATCAAATGGTTCAGACATCAGTCAAGATTCCCACCAGATCATGCACCACAGAGAATCCTGTCACTTAGACACAACGGAAGCAGAGCTAGAGGTTGATGAAGCAATGGATAGAAGGAATATCTGAGGCTATAAATTCCAGCATCTACATAGCACATACCAAGGATCTCACCTGTTGTCTGTTCAAAACCTGACACTAAAACCAGAAAAAGACTGGAGAAGAAGAAGAAGACCAAAATTGTGTTGTCCGAAAGCTGTCGAAATTCTTATTAAACATTTTAAGGCTTTAAAAAAAATATCTTTGAACAGTTATGTATATAATTCAGAATAGTAATATATTACTTTTGAATGTATGTTTTACCGTTAACAGTATGCATCAATATGATTGTAGCCAGCATGCTTGACTACAAGCCCAACAGTTGTGGGTTAAAATCCACATTGAGACGGCTTCTAGTACAAGGCTGTTCAACTAAGTTTACTTAGAGGCCTAGGTTTTGAAAATTTGGATTAGCACAGGCTGACCTCTGTACCAGAGGTCTGAGCGGCAGCATAAAACGATCATTAATACAATACAGCAGTTATCCAACAGCACAATACATTTAGCAGTTATCCAACGGCCACTTGCTAAGCCTCTGCAGGCCAGTTTTGGTCCATGGGCCACCAGTTAAATAGCCCTGTTTTAGGTCGATTCATCCTAAATGGTTACCAGAGAATGTTGAAGGAAAGGCAGCTGACATGACCACACCAACTGTTGAAGGCAGATCAATTTATGCAATTTTTGGACTAGCACCATATGTCCACAAATACTTCAGGTTGAAAAGAATATCTTTATTGCACTTGGTTATCCCATGCAGCTCGGTCTCTCAAAGCAGAACGTAACCATACATTTTGAAAGCCTGCTGTATATTCCTACTATAAATCAATCTAACTTTGAACAAAGATTGTAGATGACATCTGTTAAAGTACCAGCCAGACACTTGCATGTGGGCCTGAAGAGAAGACTAGATTTCTTTAAAAGACTAGACAGATAAAGAGAACATCACATGATGATTGAGATTCCTGAGAAAAAGTCAATGACACATCATATAATGATTGAGTGGTTGAGGCTGAAAGTGTTAATGACCAAGAAGTGTTGAAATATATCTTACTGCTTCGGTGCTTTCCTGTCAGCCTTAGTGTCTTGTGTTTGAATCCACATCAAGGTAGATAATCAATATAGGCTCCTGAGTAGCTCCAGCATATGATGGGAGCCAGAAAGTGTCCTGGGAAGTAAAGGCTGATGGCATGATGTTGACCACATCACCCATCAAAGCTAAACAATATGTATATACAGATAGCACCTTTTACCTGTGTAGCATCGATGTTAAAAAAAAAGAGTCATTTCCTTTCCTTTACTTGGTCTCCAACTTTTGACATCTGCATGTTGCTGAAACATATTTGCAGATGTCTATAAAGGTTCATATAAAGGCCAGCCAGTTGCAGCAAAACAGCTGAAAGATCAGGACAGGGGTGGGCAGACATTTCTTCAGGAAGCTTCAGTCATGACGTAAGTGTTGCTTGTTGTAATCTACTAAAAGAGTTTTTGTTATGATTGAGATGTTGTTATTTTAACCTTCTAGAAGCTTAAATAGATGATAAAAAACAGAACAAATGCATCCATATTTCAAGAACTGAATATTCAAGAAGGATGGCTATTAAAGACGATAAAACACTGAAAATTTAAATATTTTGTTCGTTTGAAATGTCACAAAAGCTTAGAGAGAACAATAATAGACAGGTATATGCCTGAGAAGAGAGGAAAAGGAACACAAAAGAGAAGATGGGTGCAGGATGTGGCAGCTGATCTCCAAATGGGTGTATCGGACGCAGGGCATCTTGCTTGCAATCAAGAAGTTTTCTGGAAAGTTGTTATGGGACCAAGGTTCTGCAAAGGAAATGCCACTGACTGACTGAAAAGCTTACATTATAATTTAACTTGTTTTGTAATCAGCAGATGATATCAGTGTTTCTTATCGTAATCTACAACAGTGGATGGACATCAGTGTTTCTTATTGTAGTCTACAACAGTAGACAACAGTGTTTCTTATTGTTGTCTACAACAGTGAACATCAGTGTTTCGTATCGTAATCTACAACAGTGAACATCAGTGTTTCTTATCGTAATCTACAACAGTGGACATAGTGTTTCTTATTGTAATCTACAACAGTAGTCATCAGTGTTTCTTATCGTAATTTATAACAGTAGACATGAGCTTTTCTTGTTATAATCTACAACAGTTAGATATCAGCATTTCTTTTTTAAAGCTGCTTTAGCAGACATCAGTGTTTCCTGTTGTAATCTACAACAGTAGAAATTAGTGTTTCTTGTTGTAATCTACAACAGTAGAAATCAGTGTATGTTGTTCTAATCTATATCAGTAGTCATCAGTGTTTCTTATCATAATTTATAACAGTAGACATCAGTGTTTCTTGTTGTAATCTACAACAGTAGACATCAGCATTTCTTAATGTAATCTACAATAGTAGACATCAGTGTTTCTTGTTGTAATCTACAGAATCTTCAACAATGGATATTGTAATCTGTAAAAAAAAACTTCTCCTATTGTGTGTCTTGTTGTAAATGTAACAGCAGACACCGGTATTTATTGTAGTTTATAAAAAAAAGTATGATATAATTATCTCTTCTTGTAATCAACAAGATTTGATGATGTGTTGTAATCCTCAAGCAGATTCTGTTAGGACATTTATTTTTATTGAGATGTTTCTTTAGGTCTGTGTTTAAACAACGGATCAACATCTTGTTACAAGGGTAGTACCCCATAAGAGCTCCGTTCTACTTCTAGCTCAAGTCTGAATTTAAAGAACCTCAGCCCAGTGCACGAACTCTGTATCACCAGCGAGGATCCTGAAATACTTTGGGTAGATTGTTAACTCAAAATATTGACCAGGCAGTGCCATTAGGCTACTCTTTTAAATTTCCATTGGCCAAGGGATTTTTTGTGTGCCCAACAATACACATGGGCGTCTAATCTTTTTACCCAGAGACTAGGGGGAAATTATTTGAAGTCCACTTAAAAAAATTCCCAGCCCTAACCTGGCCCTCTAGCACTCAAAGCAGACTCCAGTACCTGAGTGTTATTTTTAAAATGATTTTCTGTGCTGTGGGTTAAAGATATTAGTTTTCTGTGGGTGTTTATTTATTCTGCTTGATGTTGTTAATTTACCATGTTTTGACCTATTACTTTTTCTACAAATGTTTTTATATTTTACTTGAAGTTCCCCGAGCTATGTTCCTTTTGGTATGTTTGATGTTTTAAATTTTAGTTATGTTGTTATTGTACTCTAATGATTCTTATTTTTCTAGAGATATTTTTTTTTAACTTGATGTTCTTATTTTACTAGAAAGGTTTCTTTATCTCACAATGCAGATCCCTGAGGCACCCCAACCTGGTAAAATTAATAGGAGTGGTTATAGAGGACACAATAATCATAGTGACAGAGTTCATGGGCAAGGGAAACCTTGTGGAGTATCTGAGATCTAGAGGACGCAATGTTATCACGAAGAAAGATCAGATTAATTTTGCTACGTAAGTATGTGTTGTAAAATATTTAATTATTAATTATTTGATTAACAAATAACACAGATCATCCCAAATCCACAGTTGCACCAAAGCTTGCATGTTTGCCTTTGGCCTGATAGTCATCAGTTCTAATCTGTATTGCGATAGGTTTCTGAAAATGACCCTTGAATGCTATTCTGAAAGCATTGGTCTTGCTTGAAACTCTTACATTGTAATGGTAGTTTTTATGTTTTAGAACAGTTTTTCCTATTTGATTGTCCTTGGAACAAATTTAAGGGATCACTTACAGTTTCTTGCATTTAGAATGCAATCCTTTTGAAAGATTTTGTAAATTTACTCTTAATTTGTTTTTTGGTGTAAATATGACTATTAAAAAAATAAGGTAGCCATGGCTAGCATGACCATAATATCCTAAGCTGAAAACGAGACATCCTAATATTTTAAGCTGAAAACAGGACATCCCACTAATATTTTAAGCTGAAAACAGGACATCTCACTAATATTTTAAGCTGAAAGGACATCCCACTAATATTTTAAGATGAAAACAGGACATCCCACTAATATTTTAAGCTGACAGTGGGACATCCTACAAATAGCTTAAGCTGACAGTGGGACATCCTACGAATAGTTTAAGCTGACAATAGGACATCCTACGAATAGTTTAGGCTGACAATGGGACATCCTACGAATAGTTTAAGCTGACAGTGGGACATCTACTGATATTTTAAGCTGAAAATGGGACATCCCAAGCAAGTCATTTTAACTCTGCTCATCCTCGCCTCTTCATTTTCTAGGTCACCAGGGTAAAAGGGTTGATTACTTACTTGGCAATAGTGTTAAAATCCAATCTCCTTCAACACAGGAAATGGTTCACGCATACAGCATAGACCTACAGCCTAACTATACAGTCACACCAACAATCCCAGTCATAGACAAAGGCTGAAAAATGTGAACTACTGCATGCAAAGATTCTTGAACATGTCTACAGCTCTTACCCAAAACCAAACCCCAATAGATACACCGATGGATCATTGGAGGTACCAGCAAAAAAAATGGAGGAGCTGGTTTGGTCATCATGCTACAAGATGGGACCACAGTGAAACATGTGTCTCCATGAAACTCAACAAACTTCAGAGCATAGCAGCAAGCAATTATTAATGCAACCAAAGTGCTTGAGGAAAAAAAAATTGAAAAGAGCAAAATTGTTTTCCTATATGATTGCATGTCATTCCTCCAGGCAACACAAAATGACTCAAAGGGATCCACAAGACAACATGGAGAGAGAACTGACCTGCCAGTTAAACTGAAGCTCAGAAAACAAACCGTTCTCCACTGGATCCCGGCTTACAGCGGCATACCAGGAAATGAATTAGCAGATAGACTTGCAAAAAATGGAACAAAGGAGAAACAACACACCCATTTATTGTCATTACCAGAAATCAAAACACTAAGGAATGGTGGAGAGAACAAACCTACCTTAAGCATCCACAAGACCCTATCAGCAAAATCAACAGAAAGCAACATACAACAGTTTTTCATCTAAGAACAGGACACTGCAGCTCAACTGCCACATGTATAAAATAAAGATTGTACACTCCAAACAGTGTGCATGTCAGACAGGACCAAAAACACCTGAGCACATTCTGCAGACCTGCCTACTCTACCTACAACTTTGAAAAGAAACCTGGCCTTCACAGCAAAGTGTGCAAAGCAAGCTGAGGGGAATCATGAAGGACCAGCAGCAGCTGACATGTGAGTTCATAGAGGCAACTCACCTGATGGTCTGACATGAGCATACGAAACCAAATGAGAAGAAGAAGAAACTCAATCCATTGTCGCCAAGAAATAAATGAAACTGTGCTCTGTAATTGCACTGAAAAAACATACTGTGAAAAAGACACATTTCATGGGTTAAATGTTTCTAAAAACTATAAAATCTAAATATGTCTACAGATATAACCATTAGTGTGTGTTCTATAGCACCTGCAAGCAAGTTAAGGTGAAGATTTTGAGATCATACATATGAATGTGAGTCATGAACTCTCACTCAGTCTTTGAAGAAGAAAATCAGAACTTTTGAACTGAAATGCTACAGAGAAGTTCCTTAGAATAACAAGAAGAAGAAAATCGTTGACATCCTGCATGATGTGAACATCAAGGAGAACTAAATCGTAAACAGCAGCCTCTCCTAAAAGCTAAGGTATTTTGCACGTCAAGACCGTGGGACTCTCGAGAAAATGCTGATGCGAGGAGCAGTTTCCGGAAAACGAGGCAGAGGCCAACCTCCGTGAAGGTGGATATGGACATTGAAGATGCAGTGGCTACGAAAGCACATAGGGCTGGATAATTGGCTAGAGAAAGAGAGACTTTCAGGCTTGCCATGGAGAGAGCAATGTTCTATAAAGGACCTGCTGATTGATAAAATGTTTTCTAATCTCGCTAATTCCTAGGCTTTTACCCCCCAAAAAAAGGACAGTTGGCGTGTTTTTTTTAAACTGATGGGACAACCAGACCAAGCTTAAAAAGCAGGATGTATGGTCACCCTATTCATGGCAGACCTTCGGGAAAAAAAGAGGAACCACTGCTTTAGGAACATAACTTTTTTTAGTTTTTTGTTTGTTTTTTTCGTTTAACTTACTCTTAACAATTATCATTATATTTGTCATAAGCTCCTTAAGGATCTATAAGTTGTGGTTTTCACAAGATTTTGTCCAAATTTCTCAAAAGTCACATTTTAATATAAAAGTTCCAGTATGTTTTTAAGATATAACCATTATTTTATATTTTAAGGATGTTTTAAAATTGATAATTTGTTTTTATTTTCTTACTTAAAAATATAGAGACACCTGTGCAGCCATGGAATATCTAGAAAGCAAAGGCCTTGTACACAGAGATTTGGCAGCAAGAAATGTTTTGGTCCATGATGATGGCACAGCAAAGGTGAATAATGCATTAAGTAGATGCTAAAGTATTAAAACGTATTAGACCATTTATTAAAATCAACAACAAACAAGTTGAAAATGTCACAGATTTGGAAAATTTAGGCTCTGTGATGAACAGCAGTGGCAACAACTGTTTTGTAGCAATTCAGAGGCTTAGCAGCATGAACAACCTATGACAAAGCACCTGTTTAAGCAGGTTAAAGCAAGTTAACAAGTTAACGTACACAATTTGAGATCATACATCTGTCCCTTGGCAACGTATGGAGATAAGTCATGGACTCTCGCTTACTCTTTGAAGGAGACAATCAGAACTTTTGAACTGAAATGCTACTGAAAAATTCTTAGAATACTGTGGACCCAGAGGAAGGTCAACATTGACATCTTGCATGACCTGAACATCAAGGGGAACTGGCTCATAAACAGCATACTGTCCCAAAAGCTGAGTTATTTTGGGCATGTCAAGCGTATGTTAGTCTAGAGATAACAGTGATGGAGAGTGCAGTATCCAGAAAACAAAACAGAGACCAACATCTGAATAAACTTAGGCAAAGCTCAGAGTCCCCATTTAAATTTGTTTGTACATATGGCTGGACTCTTTTGGGTCCAGTTTACAGACTGTTGACTTCATGTAATAGGTTTCTTGTGGAGTGAAACAGTCAGCCCTCTCTCACTTGTAGAACTATGCTTGGCCAGGATAATTTATCCATTAAAGTTTTCAAGCACAGGCGTTTCAGAAACTTATTTAGTTTGCAGCCTTTTCTGTCAGAATAATAGTCCACTAATTACTGTCCACTAATTACTTTTAACAGGTGTCTGATTTTGGACTTGCCAAGTTTGGTGATTTGAGTTTGTCTAGTCAGAAGTTCCCTATCAAGTGGACGGCTCCAGAATCTCTCAGACATAATGTGAGTATAATTCAGAATGTTAGTAATTTAACTAGTTTTTACTAATTTAGATTGGAGAGTTGTTGTTAAAAAAGACAGCAAGGGCATATGGTGAGCCCCGTGCCATAGTAAAGGATAGAATGACTTGAACTTGGTTAGTTTGCAGGTCTGTGCTCCATTAAGGGATAACGGACAAAAGAGGAAGAAGAAGTAATTTACCCACATTTGAGTAATTTGCTCAATTGGATTACCCAATAAAGTAATTTAAAAAATGTCAACACTTTGAGGCTTTATGTCACTGTTCGTTAGGTGTTGCATGCACATTTGTAACAGAGAAACAAAATGGCGACTGTACTTACAGAGTGAATCCTCAAAGAACAACATGTTGTGTGTTTTTTTTTGGGGGGGGGGGGGGGGGCTAAAGGGCTGCTTGCAAAGGACATTCATAAGGAAATTCTTCCTGTTTATGCTGACAAATGTTTATCCCCTAAAGCAATGCATAGGGGTTTTAAAAAAAAAATTCTCAAGGACGCTCTGAAATTGTCCGATCTGGTCATCCTGTTGAGATTGCAACAGATGCATCCATGCAACAAGTGGAGGAGATGATTAGAGGTGAGAGGCCAGTAACGGTTGACACTAGCCGCTGCTATAGGTGCTCACATGGTTCAGCATACAATATAATGCATGATCGACTGAAATTTAAGAAAGTTTGCTCAAGGTGGGTACCAAGACAATTGACGAACAAACACAAATTGATACTGTTGATATGTAGATGAAGGAGAAGACATGCTTAATAGGTTTATTACTGGGGATGAATCATGGGTGCATTACCACCAGCCCGAATCAAAGCGTGCTTCAGTGCCATGGAAACATCCTTCTTCACCTTGTGTTGAAAAATTCAAGGTTACACCATCAGCTTGGAAGGTTATGCTGACAGTGTTCTGGGATTGTCATGAAGTGCTTTTAACCAGTTTCAAAACCCAAAAAAAGTTGACATTGTGAATGTTGATTCATACTGTAAAGTTCTATCAATGCTTCATGATGCAATTTGAAGAAAACACCCAAGACTGACTAGAGGAGTACTTCTTCTCCGTGACAATGCCAGACCACGCTCGGTTAACTTAGGTGAAAATTAACCATCTAGGGTGGGAACTTCTAGAACATTCGCTTTACTGCCTCGACTTAGCCCCTAGGGATTTCCACCTTTTTGGTCCACTGAAAACCCACTTTGGCGGTAGACATTTCACGAATGACGCAGAAGTTGAATGTAAAGTAAAAATGTGGTTTAGAAAACAGAGCATGCAGTCCTGTGCAGCAGGTTTTTGAGTTGTGTAAAAATAAGTGGGGAGTCGCCGTGGCGTAGCGGCTAGACGCCCACATGTGGGCTGGAAGGTCGTGGGTTCGCTCCCTGGTGGAGCCAGACTGTTTTCAAAAAATGACCTTGACTCCCAGGTCGACCCAGCCTTGAGTGGGTACCGGGTGCAGTCCCGGGAAGTAAAGGCAGCCGGTTTGATGCTGACTACATCGCCCATCTTGTGCCGATTGGTCTATAAAAATATAGGTCTAGCCCTATATGCCCTGTACACATAAAGGCCTGGAAAAGGAACCTTTACTTTTATTTTTAAAATAAGTGGTTTTCATCTTGTCATGATCGTTTTTTGGGGGGGGGGATGGTTGTTTTTTTTTTTGTTTATTTAACAACCATTTGGGACTTACTTATTGACCTCTGCTTATAAATATCCTAATCTCACAGTACAGGCTTAAGACCCTCCTCTTCTACACAGCCCTGAAAAATAGATAATACAAGCGGTAAATATGGTGGGTATTCTTTTAGACACTTGATGGGGAATGTCAGTAGAATTCCTAGTCTGCTACAAATTAGGTTGAATGGTACTTATCTGAAGCAAGTAAAAGAATTTTAATATCTGGGAAGTATTTTCTTGAAGGAGAGGAGAATATACCAACTGAAAATGTTATTAAGACATCCAAACATAAGTATAAGCATCAAGAAACAGATTATAAACAGCATATTCATACCGACACAGTTCTACCAGTGCCAGATATGGACATCAGTAGAGGCTAACCAATTTAAAATTAACACCTGTGAAATGAGCTGCATGAGAAAAGCTGCCAAATAAACCATCCAAAACAAAATTAGAAATGATAGACAAGACTGTGGAAACAATACCATGCAGCAAATTCATCCAGAAATAGAAGAACAAATGGTTTGGTCATCTAGTAAGGATGCAGCTAAAACAACTACCAACGTAGATGCTACACCTGAACAAATCTGATGTGAAAGCAAGAGGTTGCCCTAAGAGACATTGGATTGATGATATTAAAGAGCTTCTACATCGTCACGGAATGACGAAAGCCATTGCTGGGCATCTAGCAACGGATCACAAACTGTTCCTCCCCATGACACTTAATGGCAAAAGTGGATATTAAAGATGATGATCATGATGATGATGGGGGATTTAGGCAAAATCACATTGTCCACATTTGCATCAGGAGCAGCCACGGTGTAGTGGCTCATCACTCGCCTGCAGGCCTGAAGGTTGTGGGTTCAAATCCGGATTGAGCCAGATTCTTTACTAATATGACCTTGGCTTCTAGGTTGACCCAGTCTTAAATGGATATCATATAAAGTCCTGGGAAGTAAAGGCGGTCGTGTGATGTTGACTACATCAGCCTTTTTTAAACCCCCAAAATATGGCCCCAGAGCCCACAAGGAAAATTACTTTAGTGCCCACAAAGGGAGTTAGTTACTTTAGTATGCACCTGACGAGATAAAACAAAAGATGCCTGGCTATAAATTGTGCTATCTGTTGTTTTTATCTTCAGTGTTCCCTATTCAGTGGAGAACATTGCTTTGAATGATTACAGTATTACTTACTCATTGTTTATAATATACTTTTTAACAGAGTTTCACCAATAAGTCAGATATGTGGAGCTTCGGTATTTTATTGTGGGAAATATATTCTTTCGGAAGAGTACCTTATCCCAGGATTGTGAGTATCATTTGTCACCATATCACTAGCGCATTATCAGATTCATTTGTGAAATTTAAAAAATATATAACATCTGCACAAATATACAAAGTAGCAGAATGTCCATATTCGCAATACGTTGCTAGTGTTTCCTCGAAAATGAGACATAACCTGAAAACGCCCTTGCATAATTTTTCAGGATGTTCATTAAAAAAAACCTACCCCAGATATGATTGACTGGAACCTTTCCATCTTTCCAGATGATAGTGTTAGATGAAAAGGCATAAGTCTAACAGCCCATGGTGATGACTAGCAAGATGCGCCCGTGTTAACTCTTTGAGTCCCAAAAAACGCATCATACGTTCATAGGTTCCTACCTAGAAACCCAATGAATGCATGATGCGCCGATTTTATTACTTTCTTTACTACCCCCTGGGCCTGTGATGCTAAACCCCCTGGAACTCAAAGAGTTAAGAAAAGTACAATTATAACATGGGATATCAGGTCATTGTTGTCAACAGTTGTGTTAAGTCTGTTTCTTCTCAGGCTCTCAGCCTTCATCCTTTCTACAATAATTTCTTCCTTCATGATATGCCCGCTCCACACAGCACGGTTCATGATATTTTGTTCCCATGAGTCCACCTCAATACTTGTATCATTCATGTCCCTTCTTGCACACATCTTTATATCATAGTAGACGTCAGCCTCGACATCTTCTACCCGTCTTTAATTCACTATAAAGGATGTCCTTAGGAACTCTGACATCCTGCTTATTCCAGGTGTGACCCAACCACCTGAGCCTTTGTAGACTGAGCATAGAAAAGACTGTTGTAATACCTGCTCTTTCCAATACCTCATTCTTTGTGATCTTGTGCTGCCACTTAATGCCAGGTATTCTTCTTAGGCATCGCATGTGAAAGCTATTTAGCTGTCTCACCTTATGCGAATAAGTGAACTTTTTGCTGCCATAAAGCAGTGTGCTGAAAATACAAGCCTGATAGACAAGAGTTTTTGTATTAATCCTGAGCTTTCTGTTCTTCAAAACTCTTTTTGTTAATCTGTTCAGTGTTGTTGCTGCCTTACCTATCCTGATGTTGATTTCTTGGTCCAGTGAAAGTTTGTTATTAGCGGTGAAACCCAGATAGGCAAATTGGTCAAGTGTCTTCAGCTCACCACCATCAATGTGGACTGCAGGTCTGTCATTAACACTTTGCACCATAACCTTTGTCTTCTTTTTGCTGATTGTTGAGTAATGGAGGCCCATGTGATGTTAACCAGAGAGACCTCTGTTGAAGTCTTCAGTAAGTTTATGGGAGTTAGTTCAGTCAGGGGCTAAAATGAACATCACAGCCTGCAGTGTGTGGTAACTGCCACCAGCCATTCAGCCCTAAATCCTCAAGCTATAGACCATTCTCCCCTGGCCCTAAAAAGTGGTAAATGCAAGCAATGAAAGACAGAATGTTGAAAAGATCAGTTTTACTAGAATCCAGTCATGAGCCCATCCTTTCCCAATTTAAAAAATGTAACTTGGGTTATTAACTTAGGTTACCCCATCATTTAGGGGTGGCTGCTTGGATATTTTTTCTGTTGAAGGCAAAAATAAAATTCTAACCCGCACAGCTTATGGCAGCAGCACTAGCCATGTGGCCCTAAATCCTTAGGCTCAAAGAATCCCTCCCACCTACACTGCAGAATTTATTTGTATACTCCCCATTATCATCCTGTAGCAGGTCCTTTATGGAACATGGCTCCTGTCACAGCATGCCTGAAAGAAACCTAATTGCTCACCAGCTCTCCTTCTTCATGTACTCCAGTCCAAGGGCTGATGTTCTGACTAGATGCGGAATAAGGGATTCAATTTAAAAAAAAAAAGATCATACAGCAGAGTAAATGTGAAGTGAAAACATGGAACACATGAACAATTGGGGGGGGGGGTGTGGCTGAGTGGTCTCAAAGTTCCGCCTCATGTGCTGGAGGTCCCGGGTTCAAGACCCCAGCAAAGGCTGGGATTTTTCAAATGGACTTCTAGTAATTTCCCCTGGTCTCTGGGTAGTAAGATTGACCTCCCATTTGTATTCACATGAAAAAATCCCTTGGCAGTTGGAAATTGAAAAGAGTTGCCTAACGGCGCTGCTTGAGCAAAATTTAGCAGTAAAAAATCGACCCAAAGTATTTCAAGATCCTCACCGGTGCAACGGAGTTCGTGCACTGAGCGGAGAACTTCAGACTCAGGCATGAGTTAGAAGTTGAATGGAGCACTTATAGGTTACACCCGTGTGCCACGATGTTGATATGTCGAATAAACATAAACATGGTACAATACCTCTCATTGAAAGAGATAATTGTTAAGAAAGATGAGATATTTTCACTTCATCATACCACGTTTTACTCATCATATTTCCTTGGATTTATTTCTTACAGCCTCTTGCAGATGTTGTTATGCATGTAGAGAGAGGATACAGAATGGAGGCACCCGAAGGATGCCCGGCAGAAATATATGTTATCATGAAACATGCTTGGGAGCTGCGACCAGAGGACAGACCAACTTTTAATGAAGTGCTATCAAAGCTAAACAACTTGCGATCAGTGACAGTTTAGCATTTTCTTGATGCCTGTGTATATAAATCATTTAGAAGTTTCAGTTTTGAGTGAGTCCGTAGCTTCCTTATTAGCATTTAATAGTTGTTTCAGTGCTTTCCTTAATTATTTCCTTTCAGGAGTCTTCATTTTAATTAAATCATATACTTGTTATTCTGAGATAAGTTAGTTTTTGTAGCTTTTTTTTTTTAACTTTCTGTTTAGATGTACATTAAAATAGCTTTTGTCACTGCAGTTTTACAAAGTTAAATTAATAATTTTGGTTAACCCTGTGTGTGATGTAGGAGAAAGGTAAAATTACTAAAATTATTGTGGTGAAAACTCAGAAAACAGTTTCTTTTGTTGTCCCCTGTTAATGAATGAGAAAGTACCATGGAAAGATATAAAACCAAATGAAAAGTAGATCCGTAAGCTTCACAGTATGACGAACACAAATGGAAAGTGAACGTTTCGGCTACAGAACCTTCATCAGCACATTACATAAATGAAACATGAATGGAAAAAAGCAGCAATTATGCCTTACCTTATTTCTTAAACATAATATGTTGAGAATTCAGCGTTCCATCATTTTTGTATTTCTGAGCATCTCCTTTAACATGCTGCTATCGGTTCACTTAATTTCCCTTCTAGAAACTTTTGTTAAAAATAAAGAAATAGGCATTTAAGAGACAGGGAATGATAAACAGTATTAATGTTCTGGCCAGTAAACACTCCTACGTCGAATTTGCTCTCCCTCTCACCCCCACCCCCACATTTAAGCAATATAGGAGCCCGGCCCACTAGCGCAGTTGGTTAAACCTGACAGCGCGGTGACTGGGTGACGAACTTCTTGTAGGGGATGAGTAGAAAATCCACATTTCTCACAGATTTACGGTATCTATTATGGAATCAAGGCCGAAAGGTTGCGATATCAATAGTACTGAGCCAAAAGGTTAACAACTCGTGGTTTCTGGGTATTTAAAAAAAAAACCCAATGTAGGAAAGAAGGGGGCCGCTAATTTTGTATTTTTCTGTTTAATAGTCTGCTTTTATGCTTGAAAACAAGTAATATTCCTCTTTTTTTCATCGTGTAATTGTTGATGAGTGTCACTTCAAAGGCCATGTATAGAATTAAGGACAGTCAGCAATATTGGAGAGATAGTCGCACCCTTTTGTCTGTGAACATGAGGTATTAGTGTACAATAGATAATTCATTTTTTTTTAAATGTAGTATAGGGTATATTTTTTTTTTGGGGGGGGGGGGGGGGGGGGGGGGGTCATGTTTCTTTAATTTTTCATGTTATTGTTAATCATAACCCAAATAAAGTCCTTGTTTTATTGCTTGTTATTTATTTCCTATCGTTTTAATATGTTATGTTCACCTTTGTTTCATCATATCACACATTTACTATCATATCATTTGTCTAATGTTCACACGACTGCTTGAGTTCATACAGCACAGATCTATGTAAATACAGTTGCTTGTTGAGAATGTTTAAGGAAAGCACTGAATACACAACTTGACCCTTAGAAGTGTGGCAGCAGTAGATGATAGTTTGATAGTCCATATTTTTATGTTACTTCAGTATGTTTACTGTTTACACTACACATGATTTCACTGGAGATGGCCTTTAATGACTCATCTTTCTTTTAAATGTATCCTTTTCATCTTGATGGGCAGTAATTTCCTAGCAGTTTATTCAAGAGATTTCTGAAATTTGCCTTGTAACTTTATAATAATGTAAAAGCCTAATCTTCTCAGACAAGGTGTAACATTTTGTGTACCGTATACATCAGGGCAATTCAACTGGCAGCCAATGGGCTGAATCTGGCCCACGGGTGCTTAGCAAGCTCATGAATCATTACTGTATGGATTGTATTAGTGATATTTCTGGCCCACCGAGGCTTAGCAAGCCCATGAATCATTACTGTCTGTATTGTATTAGTGATATTTCTGGCCCACTGAGGCTTAGCAAGCCCATGAATCATTACTGTCTGGATTGTATTAAAGATATTTCTGGCTCACAGCAATCAGATTCAGCATTTTGATTATTGTCTAGAAGTGCCCTAGTTTCTTCACATAGATTACACAAGGAGAATTTCAGCAACAACTCTGATATTTGAAATAAGTGTGTACCTGAATTATACCTGGTGTAGACATCTTTTTATGAGTAAGCTTTTCCAGTCTTGATATTTTCTCTGTACAGCAACTTATTCCTCCTGCTATTTTTTTTATTTCAAACTGCCGACTTAACGGTCATTGTAATATGCACAAACTGCACACAGGTCCTCTGCATTTTTCGCCATTGTCTAAGGAGACTGTATCCTGTTCAGGGAGCATACTGCAATGTCATGTTTGTAATATTTCCTCTTTGGGTTTGAAAACTGAATGTTTGACATCCAGAAAACCGATCTTTGGATCCAATCCAATAAGATACAAGTCTGAAATAAAACTTCAGCCGTATAAAACAGTTATGTTGGGGCACCCAAAGGCTTCAGATTGAGTTGCTGTCATGTGTAGGTAAAAGATGAATGACAGTTGTGTTTAGGATTTTCAAAGAAAGATGAGTCATTGAAACCAGTTGTCAAGATATGCTAAACTACACCAGAAGGTGTCATACAGTCATTATATGCAGAACAGTATGTAATTCTTTTTTTAAATCTTTCATGTGTTTGTTTATGGTGGGAAAGATACACATTTAAAGTAAAATAGAAAACATATGCTGCATATTTTGTGCATGGAGGCACTAAATATTCACACTTACAATGTGCCTTACCCACTAGTGAAACTCTTTGCTACATTTCTGTGGCACTGTCTTAACTTGGCTGCTAGGATTCTCTTAATGAAGATGCATTTACTTTGCTTGAGCCCTAGTAAATGCTGTATTTACTACTACTGAGGAAACACTGTAATACAGTATAACACTTTAGTCTGAAAAGATGCCAGTGAAACGAAGAAAGTAAGTTTAATCGTCTACAACAGGAGAAGTTGAAACAATAACTGATTGGCTTAAGAGGAATTAAAGAGGCGGACAGATTGAATGTGGGTGTCAGTTTTTTGCATCCTAAAGAATTATGTAATAACTGTCTGAAATAGGAGGTATTCAAGATGCATAATATTAAATTTAGCTGGAGAACAGGAAAAATCATAATTGACTGGATAAGAAGAGTTAAAGAGATTGGGGATTGTGTTTAAGTAACAGCTGTTTGGTTCAAATGTAGTTGAAGTACTAACCAATATGCACAGGAGGAATTGAAGAGGCATTGGAGTGAGTTTCTTCTTCTTCGCATTCACTAGTTGTAAACTCAGGCAGGAAAGTTCTAGTTGTTTGTGGTCTACTGGACTGGTCTCGTTCCAGAACTTGATTTTTATGTGCATAACAATTTTACAAAATGACGAGCTTGTATGTTATGATATCACAATCGATGTCTTTGCACACTGAGCTTCCTCATGCGTGCTCAGTCCTCCGATGCAGCAGCCACTCCAAGGTACCTCTACTGATTGTTCCCATGAGGAGTTGGTTATAGTATCTCCTGTCCTTACCTCAAAGACGGCATAGTCATGCTTCACCAAGCTTAACTCCTCAGTCATGCAGTCGTGTTAGCCTCATAGATTCACCATTATCCCCTAACCTAGTGCGTACAATATTGATGATATCAGCTCTATCCATGCTTCTTCCCATTTGCATTGGTGCATTACTTGCCAGCTGATCAGCTCTTCCATTACCATTTAATCCTGCATGCCCAGGTCTGTAAATCCAAATGATGGAGGTTGGCTGCGACTTCTGAACGCTTTCTACCCATTCAGAGCTTAGACTACCTGTAGCGGTTTTCTAAAGCATATTCATAGAGTCTGTAACGATTACCACATATGTGGCCTGCTTGTTATGCTACCCATGTGAGTGCCCCGGAAGCAGCGGTTATTTCCATGGTCACGCTTGACGTAGTTATCGGGTAAGTGCCGCTTCCTCTTGTATTATTTTTCCCATCCTTTGTGCTGTGTATGCCCATGCTGATCTTGACCCATGCTTCATAGATCCATCTATGTAAATGATGATGTCTTCTGGGCGTGAATGCTGATCAGTCAATGCCCTAATCTTGCCATCTGATTCCTGCAGTACCTCCCCAGTGTTATGACAACCTTAGACAAGTCATCTAAGTCTACTGGTGTGTCCATCCATTTTTTTCTGTCAAGGTCACAAGTTTGCTGGATTCGATTTTCTGCCTCCGCGATCCAAGAAGGGTGGCTTTTGAGATGCATCCTTTTTATATCATTGATAGCATTGTGCATTGGGAGGCGGTAGAGAATAGACTCACTGCCCTCCACAAGCTTGTAAAAGGGGACTAACTTTGCTGAAATCAGATGTGAGGCTGAAAGGCACAGATATCTTAGCCTAGCTGTAAACCTCAACACAACATGTCGTCTGCCTTTTTCAGGGTGAATGCGGAAGAAATATAGTATGCCTGAGCTAGAAAGATTTGAAAGTAATCACTACACCTAGGTAGGTTAAAGTAATGATTCACTGGGGCACAACGAGTTCACAGGGTATTTCATGTTGAATACCAGTATTTTGATTTCAGTAATGTATAGAATTATATTAATGGTTTATTTGCAAACATGACTGATGTGTTTTAGAGTAATGTGCAAACTGAATACACTGATACCTTTCACTTGCTTTTTAAAGCTTGCTATAGGAGTGGCCAAGTGATAGGAGTATCTGGCTAAATGGTTAGAACGCAGTTCCTTATTAAACAGACCTGGGTTTAAATCCTTGGCAAACTGATAGGATTTTTTTTCTGTCACGGGCCCTAAAATCTCGAGCTAAAAATTATTCCACCTGCCCTAAGAAGACTCAGAAATAGAATAATGGGGGGCAGTAAGAGGAAGTCGGCCTCTGTGGCTAAGGCATTGCAAATGCACTTTGTAATGCCAGAGTGCCTGGTTTGATCCCAGCTGCGGACTATTTGTCTTACTGTGGTTTTGACAATGGTACCGTGAGCTCACTATTCAAAAAGCAGTG